TAATAATATAATTTATGTTAAAATATATAAAATAAGGAATTTGTTAAAGTTAAAGGAATTTTTTTATAACGATTTTAATTTTTAATTCCCTCATGTTAAAATTATAAATAATCGGAGAAAAGATCCAACCACTATCTTCTTGACACGTGTTTGTTCTCAGTAACCAAGTGTTAGAATTTAGCAGTTGCACTCTCTTCTGTGAATAAAATAAAAAAGAAAAAGGGGCATTCCGAGAATTGAACTCGGGACCTCTCGCACCCTAAGCGAGAATCATACCACTAGACCAAATGCCCACTTCGCTTTTTCTCTTTATTTTTAGGTACTTATTTGCGCCTTTCTCCTTTTTAAATGTATATTGGACTTGAAAAATATCAAAAAATGGGCTTAAACACAAATTTTGAATTGTTTTGTAAACCTCTAGAAAGTATTTACATATTTATGTAAAATAAAATTGTTTATAGAAATCGAAGATAGATTGAAACATGCACGCAATATCCTAAGATTGAAATTTCTTCGATATAAGACATCAGTTTCCTAATTTCCGTTGTACAAGCAAAGTCGCACAGTTGTCCAAAGCCCACCATGATCACTGACATAACAAACGCAAAGTAGTTAAATCATTCAATCAAAGCTCGTAATTATTTAGAAAGCGAGTTTTATTTCCATTTTGCCATCCATGTGTGATAAAGTTCCAAGGCTAAACCACAAGGGTGGTGTCTGATTGGTTTGCGCTTGGCTACAAAGTTCAAAAGTACCAGGAGGTCCCAAGTTCAAATCCAAGGAGGAAAAAAAAATCCTCTTGTGGCCATTGATGTTCAAATGTGGTGACTCCGAACTATCTGCAAAGCAGGTGGTCGCCCTGGGATTAGTTGGTTTCTAATATAGTATAAATTAAGTCTATGATTTCTAAGTATTCCGTTAGATAGAATTTTATGCATAATTTGATATCACAAATTAATAACAAGCAACCTAATAACTGTAACACCCTACTTTTTATATTAGCAAATCTACAAAACTCCCAGCATGACCTATTCATAAATTCGTCATTTGCCTATTTTATATCCCGTAAATTAAATTTACATATACATTAAACAAATCCTAAAAACCGAAAGTGTGCATTAGCATAGTGTATATTAACTATTATTTACACACATACACCAAATGTACTGATATTAAATCTATCGTATACTATTTTGAACTAATCTTCGGTCCCAAGCGATAGTCAAAGACATTGTATCAACCAATAATATTACCTATTAATGGTTACACCGTCAATAATGCCCTCTGATCTTGATCCTGGGATACACGTTGAATCAACCACATTTCATAACGGTCATTTAAGTAATGCATTTTTCAACTCCATATTCAAGCATAAGCGAAATGACCAGTTATGTAAAATACATACATTTGACGTGTACCCAGTATTAAGAATACATGAACTCACCTCTGTTAAATTAAGTTAATACTAGTTTTCAACCAACTTGTACGTTCTTCTTGCAACCTATACAACCATTATGTGATCATCAAATCAGCATAACCACTCTAAACCAAGTATTTAGACATCTGTTTTCCTTTTCCAACCCATTAAGAACCATTCCAAATGGATTTAAGACCAAATTTATGCAAAGATTTGAAGATTGATTATAGATTCCCGTCCTAAAACAGACACTAGCTCTGTTAACTCGATTTTTGAGCTACCTATAGCCCAAGTTAGCCCATCCTCGAACAAATCGATTATAGAAGACATCCTAACGTTTCCAGAAAGCTATTATATGCTTGAATAAAAAACACGAGTGATTTATTACGATTTTTACAACTTCCAGCAACAATGAAGACATCAATTTCGACCAAATCACTTTATGATTTATGTTATACTTTCGAAACTCATCTCCACACATATTTAACCTACTTCAACCTATGTGATTCCAACACTGTACTCCCAATTAAAGAATTCATTAGTTAGGCTTTACCCAAGTTTATATCAAAACGTCATGTATGAACTTAAGGTATCCGTAAAACTTGTTTTTGACATAAAGTTTGTTCATAACCCAACTTACCATCAAATACTCAATTTCTCAATAACAAACTATTATCGAAGTGAAGTTTTCAAACATACTTATTGAACTTTTATAGACATGTTTTTAGAACGTTCACACATCAAAATCCTTCATGAATTCCAAAGAACCCATAAAACTTCATCTTTTAGTTGAACCGGACTAGAACAAACCTATAAGTTTGAAAATCCTTCAAAATACTTATGAATTATTTGTTTGATCATTGAGACACTTTTATCACCTTTCATAACTAAGGGGTTGTTTAGCAGTTGCTGAATGGTTTGATGCAGAATGATTAAGTGGTCAGAATGATTAAGAGGCTCTCGTAATATAATGCAAAATGAAATATAATTATCTGGTAATTATTTTCAACGAAATTAGGGCTCTGAATGGTCAAGGGAGACTCATGGTACAAAATCATTCAGGGGGTTTTAGAACCATTAAAAGGTAAACCTTTTTTTGCCAAACAAGATTTACCTCTTAACGATTCAAAGATTAGCCTCTTAATGAAACTATTAAGAGGTAAACAAACAATCTCTAATTCCATTTAGTTTCAACCTTTAATTTCACATAAAACTATCCAATTTGAATTTATAACAAAACAGTTTGACTTTTTAGAAATAAGTCCACTGTTTTACACGCAAACTTGATTCTCTTTTCAAAAGCATGTTTGGATTAAATATTTCAAACTTAAATACATCTCAATATCATCTTGAAAATTAAGTAATTTGACTTTAATCAACTGTACAGAATGCTTAAAACGTTGTTTTTAAGAGTTCAATCCAAATGATTTATAATATAGTATAGATAGCAATGGCTGCAAAAAAGAAAGGAAAAAAAAGGACATCAAGATTTAATTATTGAATTTCCATAAACATTAATAATGGTTTTCTTTGTTTTTTGTTTAGGAGTCATTTGTCAAACATATAAGTGTTTATTGGTAAGAGTTATCATTCACTTATCTTATCTGGCAACATTCTCAGCATTCGAAATGGATTTTTGTAAGCGTCTTTTACATGAGAAGCGCTTATGGGTAAGAGTCTTCCACCTCATTTACCAGGTACGATTGTTAGTCCTTGCTATAGTTCTTACTGGGTAAGAGTCTTCTATCTCACTTAACGAGTAAGATTGTTAGTTCTTACTATGTCTTTTACCGAATAAGATTTTCAGCCCTTTCCATACATGCTTACCACTAAAGTAACTGATACCCATTAAACATTTATCCAATAAAAAATTGGTACACGGTCGTTAATTGTGAGCATCAAATCGAATTAATATGTATGTTTATTGTCATACAACCACAATTGTTTTTTTATCCCATGCAATATTCGTAAAGTGAAAATAATTACAATATTATATTTATTCTAATTATTTTTAAATTGACTATCTATACTATCTTATAAAGCAAATTTAATAAAAGTCTTAAAGTTTTAAAATACTAAATGACCAAGATACCATTTATATTTATACTATCTTATAAAGCAAATTTAACAAAAGTCTTAAAATACTAAATGACCAAGATACCATTTATATCACTTTTTCACTTCCTCCTCTCCTCACATACACTCACCCTTTCACACCCTCTCACATACGATTTTTTTTTTAAATTACACTTTATACCCTTATAATTAGTTAATTAATTTACTTTATGTCATTTACTTTTAAATGTTTTATTTTAAACATTTATCAAATTAATATACATAATCGTGTATCAATTAAAACATGTTTAAAAAATACATTTTTATTTTGATAAGTTACACCATTATAATCGTTTCGTTAATACCTTCGAAATGAGTCCAATATTGAATAGTTTTTGACTTAATTATATTATTATATATTATATATACTGTGAAAAAATATTTTTAATATTTACGATTTATACTTTTATAGTTATTTATTTATATATATACTATATATTTTGGGGTTAGGCTGTTCAAATTGCACTATATAATATGTTCTGAATTAATATGTTCTTGGGTTTTTTTGAAATATATATATATATATACATGTATTAATTCAACCTTAATCTGAGTTTCTGGACAAGAAAGAGGGTGTGCAGTTGAAATTTCATTTTAAAACCCATTTTTTGGGTTTTTTCATGGCTTATGATCTGTCAAATTTGTAGTTTTCTTTATTGATTTTGAGTGTTTATCTTAAAACTCAAATTTCTTGGTTATTTGCTCTTGGTGTAAATCGAACACATTTGTGGAGTCGTTTAAATATGTTGGATTTTAAATTTATTGGATTTTAAACTGTCATACAATTCTTTTCATCGATAGTCTGTAATTGGAACCATTACTCTTATTTATTCAAATTGTATTAATATGTAAAGACCAAGTGTAACTTATATCATCGTTAAATCTTATCTTATAAAACCAGTGGAACTTTGAAATTGTTAAAATTCATGGCTCCCGTCACATTGCGCGTGTATACAACTAGTATATATTATTAATTATTATTGCAAACAAGCTGATTCTATTGTCGTTGACTTGGGATTAACATTAATTTTTTATATTGGTTAATTAATAATTTAGATTTTTAATATATGAATAAATAAGGGTAAAATGCACAAAATAACAATCTACTTTTATTTTAAAGTCGAATTCAAAGAAAAAGATGAAGACAAACATCATTTTAAAGCCTTGGTTTTCTTTGGTGTGACCCTACATGTTTCTTCTTGTAAAAATATAAAACATTGTTTTAATCGTTTATATTCTTTTATAATTCTTATTTTTAATGCATCAATAATTGTGAGTTCGTACTGGATTTAAACGTCGTTAACACTTAAAATCATGTGATAATAATTGATATCTTATGCACTCATAATCTTATGTTATACTGAAATTCAACAATTTCATCATGTAAATTAATATGCAATCATTTTCTTCATACGTCATAATACCGAAACACAAAAATCAACTAAAGTCAAAAACAAAGAAAAAGAGATACGAAAATAAACACATCTTTTAATTTTCATGTACAAATCGTTTATATCGTTTAAATTTTATTTTTTCACTATTTATTTCCAATTCCACATTTATTATGAAATAAAAAATAATACCCAAATTAAAAATGATAAACAACTAATCAAGATTCATGTATTTGAATGTGATGTAACTTTTGGATGATGTTGTTTCCATGGGAGGCATTGTAGCTTGGAACAAGATCCTTCCCATATGCTTTTGCAATCTTCATCACTTGATGCTCCATCACAACACTTGCACTCCACTCCAAGTGTACCAAACACCTTTGTATACTCTACACATTTACATACATACATCATTACGTATACACACAGTTTATTACCATTAACAAAATCAAATAATAAAGTTCCGATTTTTATCAGTATGAGATGAAATTTCGAGATTTGGGTGTTTTTTCAGCTTGAATGCTCATGATCCTGAAACACATCAGTTTCTTTTCTTGCAAACAACCCGATGCTTTTGACATTTGATGCACTCAAATGCATATCATGTGGGGTGTTTTACAAATTCGGTTGTACACAAACAGTAATCAGGTTATCAGAAGCAAATGTTCAAGACATATTTAACCATATCAATACTCGTTTTGACATGGGTGTTTTTTCGATTTTGATTGTATATAAACACGAATCCTACAGTAAGAAAACTTACTTTGAGAATAATGAATATCTGATCGAAAGCCAAAATCTCTTATGCAAGTGGATGAACCAAAGATGGTGAAAAGCAAGAACAAGATCCCAAGATTCTTTAGGTTATGCATACTCTTTTATTTGAACAAGAACTAGTGATGAATTTATGTTTGATAGTATGGTCTTGATTAGAAAATATCAAGCTTTGCATTAAATTGAGGTGGTGGGTTCATGTATTTAAATTCCAATGGGTTCATGCTAGAAACATAGGGTCAATGATGTGCCACGTATCCATAGGTCTATCGTTTGCTCTTAGGGTGTTGACCCGATCAAAGTTTTTAGAAGTGGGTCTCACATGAACAAAAGCTGATAAAAAAATGTCTGCCCCGTATTTACGTCTGATTCTATATTTATCTTTATTATATTATAAAAATTTTTATTATTTAAAATTTAAGATTACAAGTAAATAATGTATAAGTACAACTTATTAAAGATCCATACTTGAATTCGTGTAACTAACTATAGATAAACATAATCAAATATCGGATAAATATTTTATTTTAAATATAAAAAATAAAAAATACAATTACGATAATCATTGTGTTCTAACAGAATACTTAATTATTATCTTTATAAAAAGTTATATTATTAAATCAAAAATAAATTACTTTCTTATTAAACCTAAGTTAATTTATAATAAAAGTTGTCTGCGTCAATGATTTAGCATAACATGTGATGGTCTTGATGGATTATAGTATCATATCAACAACAACCTTATCACATATGATAATACTTGTGAGGGGGCTTAGTGGTGTAAGGGCGACTTGTCCCGCAACCAAGATCACATCGAAAATTGTCCGCGTCTCTGATTTAGTATCACATGTGAATCATATATGATGGAATAATAGTATCACATGTAACTGTCTATCGTAAAAGGGTTTTCTCACGTTCTCGTAAAATAAATGTGTTCTCGTTTGAACCCTTCCTTATATATATATATATATATATATATATATATGGTTGGGTTCACGTGAGACCAAATGTTTTTCGTTGGAACCGTAAGACCAATTTATGTTCATTGATCAATTTTATAAGCTAATGATCTATGGTCTAAAGTTGCACGGTTGCAATTTTTGTGATTATTGAGAAGTCTCGTGGCAATTTTGTGATTATGAATGTTCAGATTGTAGATCTAATACAAAGGGTTGAGAATTGGTCTTACGGGTCTCACGAAAAACACTTGGTTTCACATGATCCCAAGTCTGTCTGTCTGTTTGTATGTATGTATATGTCGATTGTTTCCTAATCTAAGAGTTGATCATAATAATAAACCTTGGTCAACTAACATAATATACTTCAATTTTTTCCTAATCCAAGGTGGCTTTTGGTAGCAGAGTGTTTTTGGATAGAATGTAATCTGTTAAAAGAATTTGACTTTGAATGAATTGCAATGGAATATTGTCAGGTTTGACCACCTGTTTGTTTGACGTACATTGGAATGGAATATGTAAGGAATTGAAATCTGTCTGTTTGTTTCACATAATATAGAATTGGAATCGGAATGAAGTATTGGTAAATGACCAAAATGCCTTTTTTGAGAAGTTTATTTTTTTAATGTAAAATTGGAATTGGAATGAAGTATTGGTAAATGACCAAAATGTCTTTTTTTTGAAAAGTTTATTTTTGTAAAACTAAAAACACTTTCATAAAATAATTATTTAATATGTAAAACAATATAAAATACATAACCCAAATATAAACATGAGCTAAACAACGTTACTAAATCAATGGTGGTCGGTGATGGTTAAGATTGGTGGTGGTCCACAGTGGTTCAAATCAGTGGTGATCCCCAGTGATTCATATCAGTGGTGATCCCCAGTGATTCAAATCAGTGGTGATCCTCAGTGAATTCGCCTAAGCACTTCTTACATTAAAACTATCACAAAACATCTATATATACAATACAAAACACACAAGCTTAAAGCTTAAAGCTTGGATACCTAACATAATGTGTTTTACTTGATATTTATCAAATGTGTTGAGTATTTGATGAATTTTGCATATCTAGTAAATTTGGGTTAATAAATATTGTAAAATGTCTATACCTATGTTGTTGGACATTTTGATAAATAAATCACAAGTAGGTTCTTTTAATGATTTATCCTACAAATGAAGATTATTTGGCGATAATGTATATGTAGTGTATTTGGTTTGGAAAATGCATATTGATATGTTATGGGACATTTTGGAAATATAAATGGTATGATTTCGGTTGAAAAATGGTATGATTTCAATTGAAAAATGGTTTGTCCCAACCAATGATGAGTTTTTAAGTTAATCATGTCTTTAGAACATGTGTTTGGGTTCTTGGACATTGAGAGCATGTGTTTGGATAAACATTGGTTAAATACGTTTTTATTGATGACTTTTATTTAGTAGTCAATTGAGTTGTTGAGCTTTTGGATCGGTTTAACTCAGATGAGTCTTGGGGACATTCGTCCAATTTATTTTCTCTATTTTGAGCTTTGGAGTTATATGCAGTTATAGCATATTTATTTGATTACATGCTTTGAGTGTGTGGTCATTCATTTGGGGTCATGTAATTTAGACTGTAACGCAATGTGTCCATAGACATAGAAGTTAGTCTTTGTTGATTTAAAATGGGACGATCGTTCCCACGTTGTGACCAAGAATAGGCATTGGGTCATTGTGGGCCTTATAATGCAGGTTCTTGAAGTCGAACATCTGCCATCGACCCCATGGTGTAATTCTTGAGTCAATTTAATGGGATGGTTATTCTCGTATGGGGCCGTTTACCAAACGCTTACTCGGGTAAGTGAACACCAAGTTATTTTACCTTACTGGATGAATATGATAAGGATTAATAATCTTACCCGGTAAGAGTGAGACAAGGACCAAGAGTCTTAGCCGGTAAGTGAAAGCGACGACTCTTACCATGGTAAGCGCTTACCGGGTAAATTGTTGCATATGATATTGTTTTGGTGGACTAAAATCTTATCTTGTAAGTAAATGATAGTGTTAAATTTACCGGTAAGCACTTACCGGGTAAGTGTTTGGTAAACAGCCACTAAATATTTCTAGAAATTATAGTTTAAATAACATCTTTTCAATTTTACCATTTATATAGATAAAAACCGTTTGAATTCACTAGTCGTTAACCTTAACCTTTTCTTTGTCGGCATGTGCATCGGGTTCTTTGAGAATGGTAATAGCGATACATTGGTGTGATGAGTGCTAGTTAAATGGTTGAGAAGTAATTAGCAAATTGGAGACGTCTTCCGCATTTGGAGATAACGACTTTATTGTGTGTGTTTTTTTTATTAACCTGGATATCCAACCCGCTATGCGAGCCGACTAATCCCAGGGCCTACTTTGCAGATAGCCCGGAATCAGCGCATTTGAACCTCCGTGGCCACAAAGGGATTTTTATTCCTTCTTGGATTTGAACTTGGGACGTCCAGATACTTTTGATCTTTAGAACCAAGCTCAAACCAATCAGGCATCAGTCTTGTGGTTGACTTTATTGTGTTTTAGTATCACCCCACCTTAACTTAGTTTACGTTTACCAGTTGTTGATGTTTAATTTTAGTTTTAGTATTCAAGGTAATTCATGTATTTGATAATAGAATGGTATTTATCCTTTATTTGATGTATAATTAAAAAATTTAAATTAGTCGTTATTTCCAAATTTAAAAATGTTATATTAAATAAATCAACTCCAGAGAGAGCCCGAGAAAGATTATTTGAATCATAATCTATCGTATCAGAGGCTTCAATGGTCCCACGAGGAAAATGAATGTGTGAACGGTCACCTTTCATAATATAATTCTAGAAAATTTAACTACAAGTCAAATTTCCATTCCTTTCATGATTCAATTTCACACATGATCATAACACAAAACGCACGTGGCTTACCAATGAACGTAAAAATAGGTTCCAATGCCAACAATTGGTCAAGTGAATTTCTAGATTCAACAAAAACTGAAAATCATTTTTTTATTAACCTGGATATTTAATCTGCTATGCGAGCCATCTAATCTTAGAACGACCACCTGCTTTGCAGGTAATCTGGAGTCAACGTATTTGAACCTCCGTAGCCACAAGGGGATTTTTATTTCTTTTTGGATTTGAACCTGAGACCTTCAGACACTTTTGACCTTTGAAGTCAAGTTCAAACCAATCAAACACCACCCTTATGGTTGAAAATCATTTTTTAGATATAAAGTATGTCAATTTTGAAAAAAATCTTTAATATTTACCGTATTTAAACCGTTTTTTTTTTCTTTCTTTACTGTATTTATAGTATCCAAATAATCCCCATGTCAAGTAATGTGTACGATTACCTCTCGTGCATATTTGTTTTCTCTCAAGATAAGTAGTCTAATTTCATAAAAGAAATTCAATAGAAAACGAAATTTCCAACGAAATTGTGGAAAACGTATATTACAATTCATTCCGTTTCTAGACGTTTTACGAAATTCAAAATTCCTTTGCATTATCTTAAAACTTTCTTCCAAAGTACTTCGATTTATTCCAGATTCTTTATAAGACCAACATAATATAAAACAAAGTATTCTTTCTAGTCATTCTACTCCGTGTTTCAAGATGCATACTCAGTGTAAATATTTGTAACATACTTTCAAACTTTCATATTTTAAAATTCAAAATTTCCCCGTTGGTTATTTTAAAATTTTGTTACAAAGTACTTATATTTTATTACAAATTCCTTATGGTAGTGTTTGGTACGCAGACTGGATGGGACAGGACGGGATGGTACAGGACGGGACATGACTAATTGTCTGTCCTATGTTTGGTACGACTAGGACAGGACGGGACAAAACTATTAAAATGACCATATTACCCCTAAATGTTGTTCAATGTTATTTTATATCATATAATAATTGTAAAATTACAACAAATCAATCAAAATATTGTCATTTTAACTTTAGTCCCATGTTGTTCCACTTTTTTTGGTGGAACAAAAAAAATCAAGATTTGTCTCATTAAAATTAAAAATAGTCCCACATTGTCCCATGTTTTTTTTTGTTCATGGCATGCCAAACATGATACTATTTTTTTTGTCTCGTCCTGTCCCATGTAGTCTGCATACCAAACGCACCCTATAAGACCAATATCTATACTATATTATAAAACATTTGACAAAAACTCTTAAAAACCATTTTTTATGCTTGAAGTACTGTTTATTAATGCATATTACTTAAAATTCAAGATTACAAGTAAATTGTGCATAAGTACAACTTATTAAATCTCTATATTTGAATTTGTGTAACTAACTGCAGATAAACTTAATCAAATAGAGGATAAACATCTCATTTTAAAGTATAAAAAATCTAAAATATAATTAGGATAATTATTGAGTTCTAACAAAATACTTAATGATTATCTTTATAAAAAAATATTATTAAACCTAAATTAAATTACTTCGTTACGTTAAATTAAATTATAATAAAAAATTTGAATTAAAAAATATATACAAACAAGAATTTTTACATAGTTAATTTGATACTAATATAGATATATTTATTACAAATTTATATGATATTTTCAAATTTATATTTTATTCAAAACTAAAAATATTTTCGTTTTCTCAAAACCACATAAAATCGTATTTATATCGACATGGATAAAAATAAAATAAAACGAAACATTAGAATGGAAATGTGTCTCGATGCACTGCACGAATACCTTTATAGTAATATAAAATAAAGTGTTTTTTCTGCTCATTCTACTCTGTGTTTCAAAATGCGTACTCAATATAATATATATGTAACAGAACAGACCTTCAAACTTTCCTATTTTGTACCCATTTACATATTAAATTGGTTTTCAAGTTTAAATATCTTGAGTATTTAACAAATAGAAAAAGATTGAAAGTTTGTTACATTAATTGGAGATAAAATTGTTCAAATAAATAAAAATATAACCAAACTCTGTTACATTTATATGCATTTTGCTATAAATTAAAAATTTTATTTTTAAACTAATTTAATAAGTTATAAATTGGTGACATTAGAGAGTCATTACACATTAATTGTTAAAAAAGTAAACTATAAATTTGTTCCCAAAAATTTTCGAAAATAACACTTGTCGTCCCTGTAGTTTTGAATCTATAAGACGACCATCGTGGTTTTTAAAAGCGTTCGGATTTGATCTCTTTCATTAACGGTCGTAAAAAATTTCATTAAATGAGAGACATTTTCGTTTTTTTATGGTTTTTTTTATAAAAAACAAAAAAACAATAAAAAAACCAATCAAAAACCACATGAACCAAAATCGATTTTGATTGGGTAAAAATAAAAAAAATGAATAAAATGACGGTATCTTTCTCAACTTCTCTTCCTCACATGTTGATGAACTTGAACGCCAAACCATGGTTTGTCAACAGAAACGAAGTCGAAAACCATATATGTTTAGGATTTTGAAGTCGAAATCCTAATAAGTTTAAGATTTGAAGTTGAATATGGATATGAGGTTTGAGTGAAATCGAAATTCGTATTTGTGTAAGGTTTCAAAGCTTTATGAACTTGAAGGCCAACTACTACTTCGTCCCCTCCCCTTCCGGATAACCAGGCCCCTGCACCCTCTAGTTTTCCCCCTTTCGTACCACTACAATAGGGATTCAAATCAGGTTTGGGGGTTTGGTTCACAAATTTCATATATGGGTTTTAAGGGATTCCGATTCAAAGATGTTATATTTAGGTTCGAGGGGTTTGGATTTTTTAATTTCAGGTTTAAAAGATTTCAAATTTAGATTTAATTTGGTTTTTGATCTGATATAAGTCATGTATCACACAAGTTGGATTGTGTGTGTGACTGAGACCTGTGTGTTTTTTTTAGTTGGAGAAGACGACTGGAGCAGCCTGAGAAGACGACTGGAGCAGCCTGAGAAGACGACTGAAGCAGTCGGATTAGATGATCGGACCAACCAGGGATTGGGATGGTGATCGGAGCATTTTTAATGTATGTTTTTTCCTTCTGTTGCTTTACCTTATACATTTTTCAGAGGTATTAAGTGATAAATTTACCATTTAAAATTTCAGAGAATTTCAGAGGTATTCAGCTCTTATTTGAAAGGAAAAAAAACAAATGTTCTTAATACCAAAAACGTCTGCCCGAATCAGACTTCAGAGGTATTAAGAGCTTAATACCAAAAAATAAACAAAACAAGAGATGGGCTTCTCACCCTTCTCGACTCTATTACGTTGCAACTTGCAAGCAGCCATAGATGGCTTCACAGGCGACCAAAGTCGCACTCCTTTCCGCCTCAGACACTGTGATCGACATGCGGCTAAACCTGCCGCTAAACTCCTGGCAGTTGAATCTGAGGGACCAGACCTGGGTTTATCGATGATCAGTGGTTTCTTCCATGGGCTCATTTAAAAAGGCTTTCGGTAACTGCTATTAGGAGGGAGACGACGGCTGGAACAAAAATTGGAAAAAACAAGGTTCCATTGGGAGCAATTTCTTCATCAACTCTACCTCACTTTTGGTAACTTCTTCCCAATTTGTAGTTGTAAACCTAACTTCCATTCTAACAGTTGTTAAGCTTTAGGTTTTGATGTATTTCCATTTGAGATTCCTATGTAAGATGCTGTGAACAAGTTTATTTGTTTGATTTCTATATAAATGTCATTTTCATCTGAGTTATCGACTAACTTGATCAATTAGTTGATGTTAATAGCTACTTAGAAACCTAAGATACATAATTGTCTTAGGGTTTTGATAAAGTAGCAATCCAATCCACTTGATTTCAGTAAGGTTTTCGAATTGGGTTCTTGAAATCTCACAATCAAAGCTCTAGTAAGTCGAGCTCATGAGCTTATTGCTTTGGATTGGTATTTTCCTCACTCAATAAAGCTAAACACACCTAGGAATTTGAGAGCTTATTCAAATTCTCATTTACGGTTAAGATTTAACTAAAGAGCTTATTTCGGTTAATGTTTATTTTAGGGAAATTTGAGGTTCTCAGAGTTCGTTGATAACCATCGCCGGTTTGGGCTTGTTTACCATTTTGCACCATTAGAAATCGATGATAGTGTTTTGCATCATTACTTGCAGCGGGCATTAGAAATCGATGATAGTGTTTTGCATCATTACTTGCAGCGG